GTCTCTCATTCTCTTTGTTTCTCACTTTCGCCATCCTTCCTTCCCTCCCTCCCTCCCTCCTGCTATCTCTCCCTCCCTCCTTCTCCCCGTCCATCTATCTGTCTGGCCTATATTCTCGCTCTCTTGTGTCCTCTTCTCTAAACAAAGCGGCTGTGTTCCCCTGAGGGCCGATAATGCTGTCTGGCCCGTAGACCTGCAGCCCCGGCCCCTATCATCATCTTCCTCCTCATAATTGCCGCAGCCCCTCAAGGCGTACACCCCTATCTTCCTAATTTCTCCACTACTCCCTGAATGCCAGCATCCTCCCACCTCCCTCCTCCTGCTTGTCATCTATCTGACCACACTCCCTTTCTTTATGTCCTCCTCGCCATCTTATAGTAATTTGCCAATAATAGCCCTGCCTCCATCTTGTCTGGTTCTTCCCCCCTCGGCTATTGGCCCTATTCCTTCTGCCACTGCACCTTTTTTGTCTCTGTGACACATTTTCTTCCCCTCCAGCGGCTGCTGTTATCCCCACCCTGATGTCTCTCTCTATTTCACCGTTTATATCCACCAAGGGATCCATTTGGAAGAAGCCTACTCTTCCAAGGTGGCAATGAAGGGCGTTTGACTTGGCGGTAAATGTCATTGCCAGGAACCTTTCGTCTCTTAAAATGCCACTGATCAGCAAATCTAAATGAGAAAGAATATATAAATCAACCAATTATGTATTATGCTGGAGGACACTTTGAATAGTATGGCAGTCCTTAGAGAATGCTTTCGATGCCCATTTAGAAAAAAAGATATATCTTGAACTCTCATTAAAGACTGAGAATCTAGCCAGCAGCTATAAGGCACTTGGCTGAACCCATCTGTAGTTTAAGAGGGTTATGACTTTTAGAAGCTTCATAATCTGCTTTACATTGAAAAAATGTGTACAAATCCATTATTTCTGCATTTCCTACAGAAACCCTTTTCGTTGTCGTCTCCCTCCTCTCCCCTCACTCTGTACCTCACTATCCTTCCCTATTGACCCCATTCCCCTCATTCCCTCCCATCCAGTCTCCCTCCCACCACTCCTCCTCACACCCTTTAAGCTTCACTTCACCTCACTCTGCCCCCCTCCTTGTCCTTTGAGGAAAAATGCCTTTTGTCTGGGTTGGGGTATTTCCTGCTGCATAAATCTCACCTTCATTATTTTTGGGTGATTCCTTCTCCTCCTATTCTGTCTTTCCATTGCACCATTTTTATTTAATTGCAGACCTTTTGGTAGCATCAGCACTTAAACTCATTTCCAACACTCTAGAGAGATTTAAGGAAATGTACAGCCAACGTTAAGTGAGGACCTTTCTTACTTTGATTATTCTTTCTCACCCAGACTTCTGCACTTAGCAATCAGCCATCTCATTCCTCTTTATAATAAGACTTCACTTGTGTCACTTTAGGGCCACCATAGCTCAAGGGGAATAGGAAACTGGTGCCAGCGGGGAAGGCTGTCGAAGCCTCTTAGGCATATTCCTCCCATGCTACTGCAATTTCCACCGAGTCTTAAATAACCTTTAAATACCAGACACATCTCACTTTCTTTATCCCCTTGAGGAATAGATTCTTTAGACCAGAGTTCCTCTCCAACCAAACTTCTTCATCCTCCATTTTCATTTGTATCCTACCCTGAAGACAAATGTATTTCTTATCATCTTCCTAATCAGATATTCCTTCTCTTTCTCCTCAACCTTCTATTTCACATTGTTAACACTTTGATAACAGTTTCTACTTCTTTCCTCGCCTCCTCCCCTTTTTTTCCTTTCCTCTTGCTCAACACCTTGATATAACCTCTACCCTCTCCCTACTTGTCCTACTTTTATTCGCTGTCTCCCCCACTTTCTAAACCCACCTCCCTCCTCTCACCCTCTATCTTTCTCCTCCGTTTCTCCTTCTGATGAACTGGGCTTCCATTCAAGTGTTTTCACACGAGCTTTGACGGATTAAGGAAAGGCTGAATGCAGGCGTCAAAACATGATTAATTTCCTTTAGTATCACAAAACATTTTTTCATACCCGCTTTAAAGTGTTTTGGTTGATGAGGTAATTAAGCAGTAAATAGTGGAAATGCATTACTCAGGTTAATCTTACAGGACCGGGCGACCTGGTGACTCAGTAATACAGGCAACTGCTCTTTCCTCGGTTTAAATATGGACTGAGATGTTATCGCCCCCTCCACTCTCTTTTTTGATCTTTTTATTCCATCTTTATTACCCAGTAAAGTAAATGGACCGAAAGGAAGATACAATCAATCCAAATAAAGCTTTAATTCCAAACTGTTTAAACATGTGTAAAGTGTTGTCTACAGAATCCTGCAAAAGCCTCTTAGTGAGGTCCTTTGCACTGATGTTGGTGAATGTATGTGAACTTACAGGCAGGTCTTATTTGTTCTTGTGATTTTCTTATAATTTTCTGACAAAAAAATCCACCGACTGCCTTTTTGAGATAAATATTATGTCTGTGTAGAAGCACACCGTGGTTGGTTTATTTGTTGTGGCATTTGGAACCAATTTCCAGTCATATTTACATTTGTTTTGAATTGTTTACGACTATATTTGTATCCAAGCTGTCTTAGGGTAAATATAGCTACTGTCTATCTTTCTCTTCATCCTCCTTCAGCCTTACCACTCCCTTTTTTCTTTCCAACTCTTTCGATTTGTCCAAGACTTTTTTTCTGGCCTTTGCAGATCTCATCATAACGGGGCGTGAAGATGACACTTCTCATGTTCTTCATCTTCCCTCCCTTCCATTCGTCATGTTTATCCTCTAAGCTAGGAAAACACACTTCATATTCTTACTCTTCTTCTGCCCACTTCTTCTTTATTCCACTCATCTCCCTAGTGACGTCCAAATCAAATTGAAATATTATTTATTTCCTGTTTGCTCTCCCTTGCCATCGTCAGTGGGTGATGTAGTGACACAGATATGGGTGTTGTCCTATGACGGGAACATTGAATCTATCATACACAGACAAAAATAAACGATAAAAATGCCCAAAAAATACCTCAGTGTCTCTAAATGCCATTACGCTGAGTCCGGCCACAGAGAGCTGTCTGTCTCCGGGCAGAAAAACCTCATAGCATGACTCTCCTTCACAACAACTACTACCACAACAGGGACAACAGCAGTAAACAGCTCAGAATCCTCTTCCTCTGAGCTGGACTCGTGAGTCATTTCAGATTGAATGGGCAACAGGAGGAACGTCTGTCCTCCATGACAGAGAAAATATGAAACACACGACTGGAGGTTTATTTGAACAATTGTGGCTCAATGACGTTGGACGTATAATTTCACACAATAAGTGACATCGTAAACATGTGCGGTGAGCCTCATGAAAGTGAACCTCAGACACAAAACAACTGAACAATCAACTTCAGGCTGTCCTGTGTCATGAGTCAGTCCATGTGGCCATCACTCACCAGATGCTCGTTTCAGAAGAAAGCCAAATGTGAAGGAGTTCAACAACATCTTAAATATGTGAGTCAACAACTACCAAAATAACACTAAAGGAAATAAAACTGGCATTCCTCCAATATGCTGTGCTGATCTAGTGGCCCTATTCTGCTTTATGGTGGCAAAGTCCATAGGGACTTGGCTTGGGAACTGGAAGGTCACAAGTTCAACTCCCGGAAAGACCAAGTGCTACCGAGGTGTCCCTGAGCAAGGCACAGTTTCCTACACTGCTCCCCGGGTGCTGTACATAATGGCAGCCCACTGCTCCTAACACTAAGATGGGTCAAATAAAGGTACAGTATTGTGATTCTGATGTTGATGAATAGCTGAAGGAGTTGCATCTTGTATGATTACATGTGACAAGTACATTGATTTATTTATTTGTATAGCTATAATCTGGCATATAACATGTCTTCTCTTTTTGAGATTAATGTATTTATATTCATGTTCTTTGTTCAATAAAGACATACAATAATAATAATAATGAACATCTATTTGTTGGGCTTCTTCTCCATAGTACAGTAACGTGTACATGTACACAGCACAGCACACACAGTGAAATGTGACCTCTGCATTTAACCCACAGTTCTAGGAGCCATGCTTAAGGGAACCACAGCAGTGCCCAGATATACTTGGAACTTTCCAACTATCAGTTCACACTGCCTACTCGTACACTGTCTGTTCGGGGAGAGAACCTGGTCCCTACAGACTGAGCCTCTGCCGCTCTAAAAGCACTCCGACGAGGATGGGATTCGAACCCACGCGTGCAGAGCACAATGGATTAGCAGTCCATCGCCTTAACCACTCGGCCACCTCGTCCTGTGTGCCATCATTTTATGCTTATAGATCGAGAAGGACTCTTTCTGGCCAGTATTTGAAGAGACAAAATGTATTTTGCTGGTAAGTGAGAAGCAACTGCGCCATCCAATATGTGAACAGAACAAAATAAATAAAACGTTTGTGATGGATTTGACCCACATGGTGTTGAATACTTTCACCTGTAAAAACAATATCAGTGCTGACAGGAGCTGAAACTAAATAAGGCTGTTTTTTTGTACCTGGTTTGTGTTTTACACAAATACACACGCAGAAAAAAAACGCAGAAAACCCACTCACATTTTTTTCATTAAAACGCAGCAATTACATAAACATACATTACAAATATATGTAATTATAATAACATAGCACACTCAAAATGTTCAGCAAATTGTAATAACTTTCACACACACTCTCACCAGGTGGTAACCACCGCTCCGCTGCTATGAGGGACCCGCACACTGTCAGGGGTTTATGGGATTTGTAGTGTTTCTGTGTGGTGGAGCGTGGCAAAAACACAACACTGACCGCATTCTTAACCTGATGGGTTAATCTCCTGTATATGGGTTTGTGGTTTTGTGTGTGTCTTGCTGGAGTGTAATCACAAACAAATCTATGCACACCCTTATCAGATGAGTAAAGCATGGCCACAGGCATGCAGGGCAGAGATGTTTATGCTCCTGACAAGTCAGAACTGTCTTGTGTACACAGGCGGAGGCGCAAGTATGTGTGTAACAGCGCGAAAGCTGTGCGAGTGCGTTCAAATGTGTTTCTGCATAGAGGTTTGACTATGAAAAAGAAAGAGTGTGTGATTTACAGAATGTGTTATTGTACTGTATATGTTCACATAAACAGTCATTCTGTGTGTGTGTTATGTCGTTTATTCTAAGAATCTTCTGTTTACAAAAACAGCAAAGATAAGAAACCGGTCCTGTCTCCACAGCGCTCCCGCCCTCTGTCTGCCAGCTCTCTCACCGAGCAAAAGGTGAGCCGTGTGGGGCTGACAGCAGAGAGGTGCAACAGAAGTGATTTGTATTAAAATCATCCTCTTTCAAAATCAAAGTGAAGTTATGGCCCTGTTTTATACCTAAATAAATCATTTTCTCGGTTGTCTCTCTTCCACTGGCCTCCTTAGCCAGGGAAAAACGCAACAAGTTGGAAGAGTCATGGCAGAAAAGAAGAAACGCTCTAGACAACAGTGCTGATTGTAATGTCTGCAAAATGATAATTACAAGTCAGATAAAAAAGTAAGGTTATTTTCTAAAAACGGCGGCGCAGTGACGACACATTTCAAACACCAGACATACACAACGTGGACCTTCCGCTGCCCACCCACTTTGGACAGGTTTATATGAGTCAACCGTCTCGCCCATCCACATGAGCGTCCACGCCCCCCCTCTCTCTTCTCAGGGAAGTAGAGCATGTTATTTTACCATGAATAATCATCAGTCCAGACATTACAAGTCAGCAAAACAGGGTGTGCGGCAGACAAAGACTGCTGAGCACTATGGCATTGTTGCTTTACTACAACACTCCTTTGTCCCATGTTCCTATTTTTGAAGAGCTTTTCTTTGCCACGTTTGCTCCCTGCTGTGAATGTCCCTCTGTGCATTGTCTATCTTGTCTCTTTGAGGTACGCCCCAGTGGCCTAATGGATAAGGCACTGGCCTCCTAAGCAAGGGATCGTGGGTTCGAGTCCCATCTGGGGTGATTGACAGTAGGGTAGAGTAGTCCAAGAATTCCACAATTCAAGACTCCAATCTGCAGAGTTGTGGGGGAATCCAGCAGCTTCTTCGCAGTCTTCATGTATTGTGCCATGAAGTGATACCGAGCAGATTTAACTTGGCAGTGCATTAAAGATTTCTGCAGTAAAATACGGGAACAATCTAACATTCCTGACCTGTACGAATTTAGTGTTTAACTATATCTGAGCCGGCTAAATCAAACCATAGTGAATAACTAACAAAACAGATTCATTTTTATCAATTCGGGGGTTTTGTAAAACACAATTTAATAGGCAGTATTAAAGAGCCTGTGACACGAACCCAACAACTGTTGTGCAATGAAATAGTGGGCTACTAGTAATCTCGAACCGTCAGTTTAAAAAAGAAAAAGCGATACCGTTTCCGATAAATATCAATAATTTCGAACATCGCGGGAAAATTCCTTCGACTCATTTTGAGGTTTTGGGGGAAGCCGGAAGTGACGTCAATGCGGGAACGCTTCACTGTGCGGCGAGAGAGCCAAACACGGACAAAGTGTGTTGTCATGCGTAGAAATGGTGAATTACTGAGTTTAGGCACGTTAATAACGTTTTAATGAAGTTGACTACAGTATACTCATATTTGTCAGTGCTTTCATGTCAATTCGGCGAACATAAACATAAATGATCGTGGTGAAGATGATGATTAAATTAGGATTAAAAATCGGTAGTGAGAGCTGCTTTCCTCCCGTCGGATGTGATATAAAAACAAATCGATTATTTTTGTAAACTCAAACTCAAGTGGATGACTACATTTATTAGTGCTTTCATGTCAATTCGGCGAACATATGATACATTAAATGATCGTGAGGATGATGATTTAAAAATCTTTTGTTTGAGCCGGTCTGCATTTCCTGATGAGAAAACAAACCTTATGCTTTTTGTAGTTGTAGTACACCAACATGGATTAAACGTGTGTTTTTTTTTACCACAATGTTGGGGAAATTAATGGATAAAATGCACGGATTATTATTATTATTATTATTATTATTCCCACTCCGATCGGGACACTAGGTCCACCGTTTCCCCGCAGCGAGGCTCCCCCTGTTGACAGTTTACGTGGGCTGGGCTGGGTGCAGTGGCGGACTGGCCATCGGGACGAATCCCGATGGGCCGGTACCGAAGTGGGCCGGTCGGATAAGTCACTAGCACATCCCCCACTCCCCCCGTTGACAATTTACTAGTGGTACCGAAGTGGGCCGGTCGAGAGTCCCGGGCTGATTTTTAGTCCCAGTCCACCACTGGCTACATGACCGTATGATCACCCATATTGACGCACCTAATTCTTAAACTTCTAACAGATACAAAATAAACCGATCCTTCAGCCTCATATGAGCTCTCAGACACGTTCAAAATTAAACTGTCATCGCTGTCTGAGCTTGCTGCTGTGTGCGCCATCGTGCGTTTACATGCAGATGCTGGGATCCTGAACGGTGCAGCTGGAGCGCTGTGCCCGCATTGACGTCACCCATAATTTGGCGGGACTTGAAGAATCCCCGAGAAGATCCAGGAAATGGATAACATTGAAGGGCAGATTAATGGTTATCAAAGTACAAATATCCAAAATCAGTTCAGTAACGGTTTTCAAGGGGACAATATTTACTCAAATTGATGGGTTTGGATGATGGGGGAAAATCGTGTCACAGGCTCTTTAAACAACTGCAGACTCCTGTGTGGGTGTGCAGGCCCTTTGAAATGCTACTCTACTTTAAAGGCAGGAGATAACCGTTCACACTTTGATAGTACTGTGTTCACCACCACTGAAATATCACAAACTTGTACATCTTCACCTACAAGTTCAGAGAGAGAGCAAAGACAGGCTTACATCCCAATTTGCTCAAAATACACACGCAAGGACACACACACGCACGGACAACCGGAGGACACTGGCGCGAATCTTCGATAATGAATAAACCCACAGCAACTGAATGTTGAGGCCAGTTTCCTTGGTTACCAAGGCTGAGGAGCGAAGACGGACCTAAGGTGACCGACAGGGCTGTTGATCACCGTGGTAACTGTGGAGCCAAGCAGACTCATGCCATGCAAACTCTCCTTCTTCATTTCAGAATGTTTGTGAGAAGTTCCGTCTCTTTGTGCATCACGCTCATAAACACAAATACACATACCGGGTGGTTTTTTAACTCAATTCCTCTTTTATGAAGCGTTCAGTGGTAGAGATCCAGCTGTTAGTGTGACTGGTGGCTGTTGAGGCCTGTCTGATGTGATTAGTTTTGCATGTAATGGGCTTCTCATTGGATGCTGGTGTGTACTCACGCAGCTGGTCGAAGTGTGTCTGCAGGCCGTCTGGTCCCGGGACCGAACACACCATGCGGGCCTTCTGGAAGGTACTCCACTTGTTGACCAAACTCCTCTGGCCTCCGATGTCATTCTACAGACACATACATACAAAGAGTAGTCTGATTAAAACATGTGTATTTTATATCTGCTTTGGGTCAATCATTACTAATCATTCTCTCTTGTACGTAACATAGATGTCACTGATTTCACCTTATTTTCTAATGATATTAAATATGAACCTCAGGATGACTAGTCAGCTTGTTGAAGCTCAAGGGGATTTAAAGAAAGAGTAAAGAATACAAGCTAACAACATATTAACATTTATTTGTCTATAGTTATGACCTAATATAAACTTTAATTTACAGTTTTACACAAAACAACGCACTTTGCTAACACCAAATACCTGGAAAAATGTGACTGGCTGATTATTTCCTGGTTATTTAATTAGTTGTCTGATCTGTAAAACATCATACAAATGTAAAAACATTACATTATGTTTTCATATTCTATCTATTTCTGCTATCTTGGGCCAGGACTCTCTTGGAAAAGATCTCAATGAGACCTATCCTGCTAAAATAAAATAAAAATAAAAAAACATTTTTGGTTTTTGGTTAACCAACAGCACAAAACTTAATTATATTCAATTTACTAAACAATTACACATATGTAATACTGATAAAAGCGGCAAAACCATAATTGTTTTTGTTGCAGATTATTGCGTTGTTGAATAAGACATTTACTATTTGATGCAAAATGTGTTTACTTAAAGGTGGGGTAGGTAATTTTGGAGTAACCAGCTTGAGTGCGCTAGAATTTGAAAATACACAGCCGGAAAAAAATTCTGCCACTTCCTGACAGAGCCCCTCCTCCAACACACACGAACGCGCACATGACCAATGAGGGCACGAGATAAGTTTGTGCACAGATGGAAGGCTGACAGGCAGGTAGGCCATCCAGTTGTTTTAGCCGGGTCGGCTCAGATGATTGGTGGTGCTTTTTACAGTACTACGGCTTCCACAGATGACATTTTTTATGTATTTTTTGTCAAAACACTTCAGATATTCATTGCTATCGGGACGTTAAGAGCATTCCATGGAATATAACAAAAAGTGTATCTCGAGCCGGTTTCTCAAACTTACCTACCCAACCTTTAATAAAACATTTTTAACATGAACACAAAAATGTGCATACATAACAAGGCAAAAAGAAATCATACAAACACAGCCATGTATGTTTACACATATCCACAAAAAAAGGCATTAGTACAAACAGACACAGCAAACATAAACAGTCCCATATACACAGACATCAAAAGGCACATCTATACAAGCTGGCAGGTGCATCCAATCACACAGAGCTGCTCTTAACGTAAACACTCTCTGAGCAGCACGTAGCTACTCTGCCTGTTCGGACAAACACGTGTTTACGTAAACTACACGCAGACAGTTTCTGATATGAGCACACAAACACAAACCTGTTACCTATCTTTCTCCCACAAACACAGTCCATACCTTGCACACACGTGCCACTCTGGAGTAGAGCACCTTCCCAGCAGCCCCTTCTGCCTCCTGAGCGCGCTCGGTGAAGAACACGTAGACCTTATCATCTTCCGGGTTATCAGTTTCAGACAACGGCGCTACCCGCACAAACTGGGCATCTGGGGAGAGACAGGCAGAGCTGAGTTTACAAACAGCAGAGAGTCAACATGTGTCTTGTTGTTATCAGCTGCACCCGCCGACAGACTGGCCTGAAAAAGCACCAACGCATGAGATGGTTTTAGAGATGTGGATTTAGAGCAATATACATTTGGTTTACAAAGCAAAATGTAAAGAGAAAGACTGTTGTTAAATGAATATCAATCTATTGACACCAAAGAGAATGAGAAGATGCAGAAAAGGCACAGATACTTATCTAGGAGTAGATGTTTAAAATCTACTGATTATTATTTTTTTACCTGCAAAAGAGCAGTAGAAATTAAAATGCTGGTCTGTAAGCTGTTAGCAGTGTGCCACATGTTTTAGTTATAACACAACACAGTACAAAGAAGGCAATCAAGACAAATCCTGGGTAGCATGCTTACAAAATGACCCTAACCCTAACCCTAACCCTAACCCAAGATGAAAAATGATTTAAGTGAAGTTACAATAGTTGCTGGATTATAAAAGGACCAGCCATCCCAGGAGTCTTGCAATTCAAAAACTGTGTTTCAAAGAAAAATAAATCCATTCCTGCACACTTATCTTCTGTGAATTGATCGACCTAAAAAGAGTCGATGCTTGTGATGCTTCAGTCACAAAGAAGGTGTTTTAATGGCAGTACTTTCTGAATACATCAAGGTGATACGTGTTTGCTCTCTTCTTTGTAAAAGAGACAAGCAAGTGTGCCTCTTGCCTTCTAATCATCTTCTTACAAAAACTTTGAATCTTCTTGTGTCATGTGGCCACCTTATGTTACAGATCAGTAAATGTAGGGACTTTTTAAAATGTTCTTTTGGTTCTCTTTGCCCTTACCCTGCAGCCAGGTGGAGTCATACTGCTCGGTGCGGATGACGTGGCGGTTGCCGAGACTACGGAAGAAGGCGGAGTCCCGGCTCATGAAGTCCGAGGTGATCCCAGCATACAGCTCTCTGTCTACACACATTAACAACAGTTTATTTAGGTCACACAGAATGGATAATGTTTAATGACATTTGAAGGTGAAGTTTATTCCAAAAATATTCTCCTCTTTTTGTGAGAGCCCCAGTGAAGTTTTATTTAATGCCAGCACCAAACAGACAATAGTGTCCGAGAATAATTGTATGTCGGTACAGTCTGTAGATGTCAAGAAACGGTGTGCAGCAAAAGAAGACTGCTGAGCACTATACCACTGTTGTTTCAGTACATTACTGCTTCTGTGCTATGTTACCATGTTTTCATTCATTTGTTTTTTGTTTGCTCCCAGTTTAATGTCCTTTTGAGTTTGAGTCCCATCTGGGGTGATTAACCAGCACTTATTCGGAAATAGACAAGATATTTAAATCACATGAAGAGGTATAAAGTTGGGATTGAACATCTTAGAACATATAAGTCAAGCTCTTACAATTGACCTTTTTAGGTCAAGTTCTAATAATTTCCATAAACCTGAAAGTATATAACCCACAAACTGTTTCTATGACTACAGATACAAAGATAGCCAGTTTTAAGGTGGCTCCTGCCCATGCATCTCTGAAAACATCACTATGCTGTCTCTTTATTGTTGTGCCATCTCTGACAGTGGCTCAGTAACCTGAGGGGCCATAATGGACTAAAGCCTATGTTTGTGGGCCCCCTATTGGCACTAGGCTGTGGAACCCTTTGTTCGTGAACGGATTCGGTAAATACAGAGTTGTGCAAAGCCCCAGTGGCCTAACGGACAAGGCACTGGCCTCCTAAGCCACGGATTGTGGGTTCGAGTCCCATCTGGGGTGATTGACAGCTGCTATATGTGCTGGAGAGAATCTCAACATGATACTTTCACTGATTCATGCATTTCCACACCATGAGCTTCTGTTGATTGCAGAGGAACGCTAAAGCCTTTGGAATTTGACATGATATTTCAAATAAATAAAGAAGTACTTCAGTTTGTATTTCACTTTCATGAAGTTGGAAGAGTTACGAGCATCTTATTTGACCTTAAATAGGTCAAGCTCATAAAACATTTGGTCTGAAACCTGAGAGTATATATTCCACAGACTGTATCTGTAGACTGTGCCAATACAAAGACACAAAGTGTAGTCAAATGTCTGACCACATAGCATCTTTTTGTTAGATCCACCCTGACTGGTAAACGTCCATGTCTTTCAAACACAATGCAACCAGTTTATAACACAAGCTTTTTTGTTCAAATGTGTACTCTCCAGCCCATGCTAACTTTTAAAAGACATCACTATGCTGTCTCTTCATTGTTGTGCCGTCGTCCACCTCAGTGGCCTCAGGTAACCTCAGGGGCCATTGTGGACTAAAGCATATGTTTGTGCGATCACATTTGTTCCTTTGTAGTAGAACTCTTTTTACTGAATGGGTCAAAATAAGGTGTGCAAAGCCCCGGTGGCCTAATGGATAAGGGACTGGCCTCCTAAACCAGGGATTATGGGTTCAAGTCCCATCTGGAGTGATTGACAGCTGCTATTTAGCTCTATGCTGTCAGGGATTTACACATTTCTCCCAAGTCTGTGTTGCACGCAGTCTACACTCAACAGACGGAGCACTAAAGCTGCTGCTCAGGCTGCGCCTCCTGTAGAGTAGTCAGGGTGTAGGTATTTTATTCCTCTTTGCGCCCTCAGATTTAATTGCAGATATTATGTTAAGATGGCGTAAAAAAAACATCCAATCAAATTGGTTGTATGATTAACAAAGTCAGTGTACTCATATTTTTCCCAATAGGTGTTTTATAGTGCTGCAACAACAAGCCTATAACTTTGTCTCAAACTGGTCTTCCACACCAACCTGAAAACTCACAGACAAGTCATATCTGTTCCTATGATAACTTATCATTCATAGTTTATTTGTGTTGCTGTTTGGTCAGAAAAACGGTCAGCTTACCAACGACAGCAGAGGCTGTTTTCTGGAACGGATCATAGGGGCATTTCCCTTTCCCACACTCTGTCTGGCTGTAGGAGAGAGTCTGGTGCTCTGCCTGGCAAGGAGAGCAGAGACAGAGGTCACTCAGACAGAGAGGGAGAAAATCAGCCGGACAGAAGAAGACACACCAGAGAGAACAAGTTGTTTGGGCAGACTGACAGGCTGTGACTCTTTAATTTACTCTTTCATCTATGAATTATTTCATTTATCCACACAGAGAAGCATAGCGACTTTTTCAGCTGGTAGAATTAGTCTGCCACACACACACACACACACACACACACACACACACACACACACACACACACACACACACACACACACACACACACACACACACTACTA